TGAACGTATGAGTATGAGTGTGTAGGTGATGAGTTCGTCAATGTTTGATATAATAACTATTTTTTTGTTTTCTAAATCCACAGAATGTATCAAGTATATATCCTACTAGTGACATTTGGTCATATGACTTTCACATCTATTTTTGTGGATGCACTTACTCTCCATACAACATACGAGGGAATAGAGGATGGGTATGTTAAAGTCTTCGATGGGGATACCAATACCATTAATGTTCAGATCAGCCAAATGCATTCGTGGAGTAATTTAACAATAGAGCTAAAGAGCTCTAACGAAGATGTCTTCCAGGTTGAACCTGAGCTACAGCATTTGGATATAGAGGAATTGGAGACAGTATCTTTAAATGCTACAATCATCGGTGTGTTTATCGGGGTGGAAATCTTGCATATCAGGATCATCAACGACTCGAGTGCAACAGAATCTACAGAGGTTATAAAGGTCTTTCGAGTTCCATCATTGCTTAACTTTGTCTTCACATATTTCCTCTTGATATGGTTAATAGTGTCTTACGTCACTATGGGTACTAAGCTTGATTTAAAACTGATCTGGGAGAATGTTCGCCGCCCTGTTGGAGTCACCATCGGCATGTTCTGTCAATTTATTGTCATGCCACTCTTGGCATTTTGCCTAGCTGTGACCTTATCTGATAGTCGACAATCGGCCATAGGGTTGATAGTCGAGGGCTCCAGCCCCGGTGGATGGTATAGTAACATTTTTACTTTACTTCTGGACTGTGACTTTGTTCTAAGTTTAACAATGACGTTCTGTTCCACGATTGCTGCATTAGGTTTTATGCCTTTGAATATGTTTATTTACGCAAACAAATTCATCGAAGATGACGAAGCTTTGAAAACGCCGTTTGTGCAAATGGTTCAACAGTTTGCTCTGATGCTTGTGCCAGTATTGGTCGGGATATTCATCCGATACAAACTCTCAAAGCTAAAAGACATATGTCTACTTCTTTTAAAGCCCTTCGCATGGATTCTTATTGTCGTAAGCTTAGCTCTCGGTGTACCATCCAACATATACATATTCCAAGGTTCGTGGCAGATTTGGGTTTTATGCGCCTTCTATCCATTCATCGGCGGGCTGCTAGGTTTTTTCTTTGCGACTATCACGCGAAGGAAATGTCCTCAAGCGGTCACTATTGCTCTGGAAACTGGAGTACAAAACAGTGTTCTGGCGACTATTGTTATCAGGCTAGCGTATCCTCAACCAGAAGCTGATATTATCTCCAGAATCCCTCTCTTGATATCGCTCACTACTCTCATCGAAGGGTGCAGTATGGTGCTGGTCTATATCACTTATCAGCGGCTTTGTAAAAAGAAATACACTGCAGTACAAGAGGTCGACCCTGCAAATGCAGGTAATGAATCCATTGATGGTCAGACAGACACCGAGATACGGCTTGATGAGAACAATGCGTCCTAAATACTACTCGTACATATCATAGACTAGGGCGGATCCAGAGATGGCCGAAAGTGGGTGAGGGGGCCAGAGACAACACTACCCTAGACGTCTAGAAATAATCTCTGAGGTGTTTTGGGCGATCAATTATTTCTTTTTCTTTCTGTCTTTTTTAACTTCGCATTAGGGAGGGGCGCCCCTCCCCTAAATTCTCCCCTGATAGAAGTTTAAATTCAGTTCAGACGTTGCACGCGCTGTATAGGTTTAAAGCCGCCAATATATAACAAGTGTGCATTACATCCGTACAATCGAAATTAGTACCGTAGTGTGCAGAAAACTACTTCGATACTGATCTTTCGGGACGATATCAGTTATTGAATTTCGCAGATTCTATGCTTTGACGAGTTCAAAATTTTCACTGACCACTAAATATTACATCTTAATAATTATATGGCCGTTCCCTACGTTCATCTGATCTCAATTTAATTTCTGTCCCTCGCACCAACACTAAGACCTTCGGACACAGATCATTTTCATTTGCTGCAGCCACACTCTGGAACGCACTACCCCTTCACATTAAAAAATCCACATCAATTGCTTTATTTAAAAAATCACTCAAAACGCACTTATTCCAACAATAACATGAAGCGCCACTGATAATTACTTCGGTTTTTTAAATGGCGCTATATAAGTTCTTACCTTATTATTATTATTA